CAGTGGTCAGGCGGGGCGTGAGGTCCCGGGAAGCCGAGGGCCCGGGAGGAGCCCCGGCGGGAGGGTGGGCACCGGGAGGGTGCGGGAAGAGGCGGGAGTTGGGGCTGTGCGGGCTCCTGGGCAGCGCTTGCCTCCTGGCTGGGCGCCCACGCGAAGGGCCGTGTGGCTGAAGGTGGCCTCGCTGGGCAGCCCTGCACGGCCCCAGGAGACCCGCCTGCTCTTTGCTGCCCGCTGGGGCTGGGCCCCGCCTCCGCACAGCTCCAGGGAGCAAGGAACATCCTTTCAAAGGGCTGAAGGACCCGAGCGGGAAAATGGAGGCCCCCGAAGCTCCCGTGGGCACCCATGGTCCTCCCCACCCAGAAGCGGGCTGGAGGGCCCCAGCACAGCCCCGCTGGCCGTGGGCTGGGACCGTCCCTGCACGGGCTGGGGTGGGCTACAGCAGGGCGCAGCCGGTGAGGGGCCGGCCAGGGCGAGCAGCGTGGGCACAGGGTGGGTGGGGGCTGGTGCCAGCCGTGCCATCTGCGCCCTCCCCTCCTAGGCGCTAGACAATGAGGGCCCAGGGCCTGCTGCCCAGCCGCCTCCCCATCCCCGGGCCCGGTGCCGAGCAGAGCCGCTCGCAGCAGCTGTCCTCTCGGGGTGCACATCCCAGTACGTCACCAGTGACCAGTGACCCCCAAATGAGCACCCTGCTGGCCTCCCTTGGGCAGCCGTGTCCACTGGGCCTGTGTCCGGGCCCTGAGCGCCTCCCCGTGGCCGGCGATGTCCCCGTCTTGCTGCGCCATCTCCGGGGCTCGGGGCTGAGCCTGGCCGAGGGGAGCTGAGACATGCGGACGACGGCCTTGCCGCGGCTCTCCCCAAGGCCACCCACCCAGCGTCCCCCAGCGCGGCCGCGACTGTCCCTCCCACCAGCGCTTCGGACCGGACCGTTCTCTGAATGTGATGTCAAGAGGAGGGGCTCCCCCGGTGTCTGGACTGATGGCGAAGCTGAGGTTTTGATCAGTTTGACGTGGTGCCGGTGCGTGATCCTGCCGGTGCTCCCGTCGGTGCTCTGCCGGTGCTCCTGCCGGTGCTCCTGCTGATGCGCTGCGCTTGGCTGGCTGGCCCCAGCTGGCCCGTTTGCTCGGAACCTGGGTCTCCGTCGCTCACCCGAGGGTGCCGAGACCTCCCGGTCGGTGCCAACACACTCAGGGCTCCCGCCGTCCCCGAGCGCGGCCGACCACAGGGGCAGCAGGCCAGGGGTCCGGCCACCCTGTAAACGCCCACCCAGGACGCCGTCTCTCGGGCGCCCGGCCAGCCTGGGCCGACAGCTTCTCTGGCGAACAGGCCCTTAGGCTCCACATGCAGCCGGGCCCCGGGGGTTCGAGGGCAAACGCGCCTCGGGGTCTGGAGACGACCTTGTGGTCAGAGGGCCCAGCGGCCAGTGACCCCCAAATGAGCACCCTGCTGGCTTCCCTTGGGCAGCCGTGTCCACTGGGCCGTGTCCGCCTCCTCTGCGAGCGGTGGGCCGGGGCGTGGCCGCTGCCTGTCCGTGCCGGGCGGAGCGAGAGCGGAGAAAGCCTCTTTGGGGAGTGTCTGTGCAGCCGCGCTGGGGGTGGCGTGCCCCGAACCCACCGCCAGCCCCCCACCCCGCCGAGGGCCGTGCGTCCTGCCAGTTCCCGCGGGTGGTGAGTCCCGAGGCTCGCCCAGCCCGACAGCCCCCCACCCAGCACCCACCACGCGCTCCCTCCGGGCACTGTCAGGGGGCGGAGGTCGGCCGGGGAGCCCTCAGAGCAGCGAGGCTGCCCCGCGAGGCAGGCCCCTGTCCGCCCACCCCCCGGCTCTGGCCTGTGCCCCTCGCAGCCCCTCGCGGATGGACCAGACAGGACCGCCCCGACTTCCACCGTTGCTGGGTGCAGCCGGGGCTCTGGTTGGGGGGCCAGCCCCTCAGACAGCATCTCCTTGCCAGGAGTCAAGCGCTTGGACTTGGGGCTCATCCCCCAAGTGGGGGTCGCTTTTGAGTCACTGGCTCTGTGCCCTCCTGCACTTCACCTGTTCTCCTCCCGCCTCCCACTCCGGCAGCAGCTTGTGCCCAGTCCTGGGGCTCCCAGCTGGTTCTCGGGGCTCACACCCAGTTCCTCGGGCTTACAATGAATTATTGGGGGTCACACCTGATTCTTGGGACTTACAGCCAGTTCTTGGGGCTCACACCTTGTTCTCAGGGTTCACACCTGGTTCTTGGGGCTCAGCCAGTTCTTGGGGTTCACAGCCAGCTCCTGGGGCTCACACCCAGTTCTTGGGGTTCATACCCAGGTTGGAGTCTTCACTCTCGGGTGCACGGCTCACCCTCAGGACCCCCCGCAGCTGGATTTTCCTCCTGTGATGCTTTGCTGTGTGAGGCCTCCTGTGATGGCCACGCTGTGTGCTGAGTCCGGGCTGGGATTTATCCACATTCAACCCTGACTCCCCTGGGGGGCCCGGGGCAGGGAGCCCCCCTCTGCTGGGCCAGCGGCCCCCGGGAGCCCAAATCTGGCTTCTCTCCCGGGGCTCGAGCAGACAAGCTGCTTCCAGCTCCCGCTCCCACCGCCAGCGCCCACCCCCTGTGAGCTCAGGTGCGTTCAGACAGCCCCAGGGAGCAGGCCGTTGCCTGGGCTGGGCTCAGCTGAGCTCACAGCGGTGCCCGCGGTCACAGTTTTGCGCCACCAGCAGCTGCAGCCTCCACCCGGACGGCCACCCGAGCCTTGGGCCGAGGGCGAACGGGGCGGCCCGAGGGCCCAGCTCACTGGACAGGCGTGGCCGGTCCCAGGGCCTGGGTCGGTCAGGGGGCCGCTGTCCTGGGGGCACGCCCGGGAGGAGGGACAGAGAGACAGCGCTGCTAGACAGATGGCGCACGCCACAGTGTTCCCTCCTTGTACCAGAGTCGCTTCTCTCCCTGCCCACGACACGTCTCCCTGCCTGCCCAGGGAGCCCATCCGGTGCCAGCTCCAGACTGGGGTGCGGGACCCTGGGGTTCCAGGCAGGTGCTGCTGGCCCCTGGGCTGACATTTTACTTCTCCTGTGGCTCCGCCTTCTTGGATTGCTTTAGCCTTCTAGAAGGTTCTTCATTTCCCGGTGAGGACCCCTGGGGAGGCGTCGCGGCACCCCAACCCCTCCCTGAGCTGTGTCCATCTCTGAGCCCGCAGAGAGGCTTCGCCCCAAGACCGTTCTGTGACACGTCGTGGCCCCAAGCTGGCAAGCATTTGGGGGGTCTTATTTGCACCCCCAAATCCCTGAGCCAAAGGATCAGATTTTTCCTATTTTCAGCTCTAATGAAGTGACAATGACCCACAGCAGAAGCAGCCTCCGGTCACTCGGCGCACAGGGGCCTGCCGAGCAGCGCCCGGGAGGTGTGGGCCCGCGGCCGCCTCCCCGCGGGCAGGTGTGTGTGCGGGGACCGGACGTTCAGGCTCTAGACCTGTCTCCTTCGGACACGGAGACAGCCGGGCTGGGGACTGGTGGGGGCTCGGCAGGCGCCCGCAGCGTGGGGCCCTCGTGCTTGGACCACGAAGCCCGGGCTGGACGAGCTGCTCGAGCTTCTCCAGGGCTCACGCCACCCCCGCACCCCCCTCGCCCCGCACCCCCCCACCCCGCGAGGGCTGCACAGCTCGAGTGACCGGCCCCGATGCCAGAGCTGGTGGCTCGGCGTCCCCGTCCCCTGGGCGCGCGGGGCTTACTGCCTTGGCGTCGGGCGAGGCCTCGGCACCCACTCAGCGCATTCCCCCCATGTCACGGGCCCTCTGGGGCGCTCCCGGCGTCCTCAGCCGCGACCTCTGTGTTCTCCCGGCACAGCCCCGAGAAGCTGGCACGGCCAGTTGGGCCTGGCCACGGGCACAGAAGCAGCCGCCCAGCGACCGCGGCAACAAACAACAAAGGGGCTGAGCGGCGCCTGAGGATCGTGGCCCCGCGCCTCTGCCCCCTGGGCTGTGGGCGCCGCACCCCCTCCCCCGCGCTGCTCCCCAGGCTCAGGGGCCGGGTCGGCCCCCAACAGGTGATGGGGAAGGCGGTGCGGGGGGCCTTGGAGTGGAGGCAAAGCAGCTGGTCTCCTGGGGGCCCCTCGCCGGGGAGGTGCCCTGGTGGGGGGCTCTGGGGGCTGCACAGAGGAGACCTTTGTGGGGGCGGGGGGTGCCCCGTGCGTTGTCCCGGGACCCAACCCTCCCTGCCAGGGCAACCAGACTCCAAACTAACTCAGAGGGCTTCTCAAGGGCCCTCCCCACCCCCATGTCAGCCCAGGCTCCCGCAGGCCTCTGGAGCGGGGGTGCTGGGGCGGGGGGCTGGAGCCCCATCTGGAGCATTTGGGATGCCTGAGCAAGAGAACCGGGCTGCCCTGAGCTGTCTCGGCCCCTCTGAGTAATTCTTTGTTTATTTTAATTGCTGTGACTGCAGACAGACGTGTGGATCCACATGGGCTGTGCAGTGGAGACACCTGTGGAACCTCATAGGCCTTGCAGTGTAGACGCCTGGGCCCTCGTGGCCGGGCGCCCCACAGCAGAGAGGTTTCGTGTGCGCTGAGGCTCCTGGGCGAGCGCCCCGGACACGGGCCGGCCGGCGGGGGTGAGCTGCGTGTGGCTTGTCTGGGGCCGCGGGAAGGCGCGGCGGGAGTCGGGGGCTGGGAGAGCTGTCCTGACACCGAAGCGGCCCTCGCGCCAGCGGCCCCGGGAGGACGGGTCCCCCGCGCCGCCCCTAAATGCACGTGGGGGAGACGGACGCGAATTGCCCCCGTGGCGCCAGTGGGGACCCCAGCAGGGGCGCCGAGACGGGCGCGGCTGGACGGCACGGGCGGGCGCAGGCTGGCGGTGTGGGTGGTGTTGCTTTGCAAAGAATTTTCAAAAATCTTAAAAAATAGGAGCGAAGAAATGGGCCGGCGGCGGCACGTCGTGAATAAACGCGCGGTCTGGTGGGCGAGGCAGGTGGGGGCGCAGGGGAGACCCGCGGCGGGGGGGGGGTCAGGACGGGGCGCTGGGCAGCAGCCAGGCCGAGAGCACCAGGAAGACCCTCAGGGGCAGGCGGGGTGGGGCCGGGAGGGACCGGCGGAGCCCCCAGTGCCTTCATTCCTTGGGGACACGTATTCCCTGGTGGAGGGGCCGGGCCCCTCCACTTGAGGTCCTGGATCTGGGCGCTTCGGGTGGGGTCGCCCAGGAATCCCCGGATCTGCTGAGCTGTTCCGCGGCTCTGAGCCCACGCGGGGCCGAGGAGGAGCCGGCGTGAGAACAAACCCCGGCTGTGGCCTTCGAGAGCCATGCACGACGTCACGGGCTGGGTAACCACGAGCCCAAGTCCACCCTCGTGCCGCGACAGCTCATCCTGGTGGAGGGCGCAGGCCGGCCCACGGGCTCCCTGCTCACGGGTGACTCTGCCTCCCCGAGCTGTGGTCACGCAGAGGCCGGGTGGGGGCCTCACATCCCACTGAAAGCAGCCCACTGGCCCCGGCCCGGCCGTCTCCTGCTGGGTCTGAACCTGGGTGGGCGCTGCAGCGGCCCTGGGGGCTGCACGGAAGATGGGGTGAGGCTAGGCCAGAGCTGGGGCTCGGAGCGGTTTTCCTCTCGGAGACTGTCGGGACGACCAGGGGCCAACCCTGAGCCCAGCTCCCGCGGCTCCTCTCCAGCTTCCCCGCGCGAGTCCCTGTCCCTGGGCCCTGCTCATAGGGACACCCGTGACGCTGGCCCCGAGGCCCTGTCCAGCCTGCCCCACCGTGACTCGGTCCTCAGCACCCTCTTTAGCTCTGCAGCCCTTTCCAGGGCCTGTCACCAAACGCAGTCACACTCTGATGTCCTGCATGGTGGATCCCGACATCTGACTTTGGGGGCACCGTTCGGCCCCTAGCGTCCTGGAGGAAGGAGGCGGGTTGCCAGGTGCGGGGGGCTAACTCCGCCTGTGGCAGCTCCTGGGCTGGACCCTCCCGGAGAGGCGCGGCAGGCAGGAGGGATGAGGACAGAGGCGCCCAGAGGCCCAGGCCCTGGTGAGGCCTCCTGGGTCCCCGGGCGGCTTTAGACTGGCCACCTGCTCAGGACCCCTGCCTGCCCGTCCACCTGCTGGCGCCTCTCTGCCCATGCTGGGCTCTGAAATCCAGGAAGGACAACCAAGAAGGCCGCGCGGGCCTGGTGGCCGCTGCGAGTGTCCGGCAGGCTGGCTGCTGTGCTCAGAGACGACGCCTGTGGGGCCGCAGCCTGCGTCCCACTTCCACTTCCATGAAAGCCCCTATTCCTGTGGTGAGTCCTCTGGGCCCCTGTGACCTGGAGCGGCGGGGCCTGCTTGGATCCCTGGGCCTTGGCGGGGGGCGGCTCCTGGCCGGTGCGCCCACCCCTGGGAGCCTCCTGTTCACGTCCAGGAAGACACCAGGTAGACACATCACCGTGGAAATGCCCGACCCAGATTCTGACCCAGTTTTATTTTCAAAAGATGTATTTATTTATGCATGCAAGAGCTGGGGTACAGTCCAGTGGTGTGGGGGGGTGGGAGGAATCCCCCAGAGACAGAGTGACTTTGTCACTCTGAGGCAAGCAGGCTGACTGAAATCCACTGCTGAGGGCGGCAGCGGGGAGACAGGGGAGGCCTGCTACGCCCTGTGGGCAGCTCCCTGGCCGGGAATGAACGCGCTGCAGAGGTTGGTGGTAGCGTGATAGTGCTAAGACTTAACCCCTGCGCCCCCAGGAAGGCCCGATCCAGGTTTAAGAAAGTGTGACTAGGAGACACCTGAAGAGCTGACGAGCACCCCTGAAGCAAAGCAGAGGCACCAGGGGTTCCCCACAGCAGCGGTGTTAGTGCGGAGCTGGTGACTCTAGCCCCGCCACCGGCCCCAGGTGTGTCTGACCCCTGGTGTGTCTGAGCCCAGGTGTGTCTGACCCAGGTGTGTCTGACCCAGGTGTGTCTGAGCCCAGGTGTGTCTGACCCGAGGTGTGTCTGACCACGCAGCCTACCCCATCACGGGTGGACAGGAAATCCCGCCGTCTGGCCAAGCAAAGCCAGGCCCCCCAGCACGAAGTTGCAATTTCTAGCGAAGCTGCTTTTTCAGGGTCCCTTTTCTTTTACACGCATGAGGAGAGGGACACCTGCGGCTTTTGCTCCTCCGCGGGGCGGGAGAGACAGGCCGGAGTCAGCGGCCACGGGGAGGACACCAGGGGGGCGCGGGCGCGGGGTCAGGGCGCCCCCTGCAGGAGGAGGTGCAGGGCGCAGGCTGGCCGGTTCAGCAGCTGCAGGGCCGCCCCTCCCCAGAGGCGTCCCAGGGTGTGCGCCCAGCTGGGAGCAGCCGGCCTCCAGCTCCGCCCCCCGGCACCCCTGGCCTGCTGTGTCCCGGCAGCTGCTCTCACCTGGGCCATCGCCCGCCTTCCCACCCTTTGCCTGTGCTGGGGCTCAGCGGGGAATTCCCCAGGGAGCCTGGTGGGGGAGCAGGTGACCCCAGAGGGGAGCAGAAGAAAAGTCGGAAGTTAACAGCTTGGGCGAGAAGAATTTATGGCCGTAATTCTGCAGGGACAAGGAAGACCGGCGTTTGGGTCCGTGCTGCAGAAGCCTGGGTGTGACGGGGACGGGGCGCCGACCGAGAGCAGGGACTGACCTGCCTATCCTCACTCCGGGAGCGAAGATGGGGTTCTCGGGGACGGCGCACCTCTCACCAACAGTCCCACACCGGGGAGACCCCACCACATTCCCCTGGGGCCCAGAGGGAGCCGCCGTTGCTGTTTCAGTTAGGAAAAAGGACACAGGAACGAACGCCGTGAGCCCTGCGACGGTCCCGCAGGCCCGGCTGGCCGCCCCCACTCTCCCCTCGCAGACGCCCCCACAGCAGGCCCACTCCGGACGTTTGCGGAAAGCCTGTCTGACTTTTGGGGAGACGACCCAACTGCTCGGAGCTGAGGATGTGGGGTCCTCTGCTGGACTCTGAACCGGCACGCCCGCTTGTTGGACCCCGTCAGCTGGACATGCCCTGGCTGTGACCGCCCCAGGCAGCCCGTGGGCCACTACCTCTAAGTCCAGTGGAGCCTCTGAGCTGCCCGGGGCTGGGGCTCTACAGGCGCGTGGGGAGGAGGAAAGCAGAGGCCGACCCTCCGGGAAGGGCGGGAATTAACCAGAGACCCGTCCTCCTGAATGGACCCTGACGTGCCACAGCCGACTTTCAAGCTTTCATGAAAGAGGCCGTTTTCTGCTATTTCAGCTGACCCGGTGCACTGAGAGAGGAAACCGGCCAGTTTTTTTAAACTAGAAAAGCATTAATTTTGGAACAACAGTTCTTTTAAAATTAAAAACATGATTTTACTCGTGACGATGGATTAAAAAATACTAAATGAGGGGCCTCCCTGGGGCACAGCGGGTTGAGCGCTGCGCTGTGAAGCTGTCTGCAGCCTCTGCAGCGCAGGTTTGATCCCGGCCGGCCAGGGAGATCCCCGCATGGCGCAGACCCCTCCTGCCGCCCGCTGCTCCCCTCAGCAGTGTCTTCGGTCCGTCTGCCTGCTCTGCTCCCCACTGGCTCTGGTGGATCCTCTCGCCCTCCCTCGCCTCTGACCTGTACCCCTGTTCTTGTATAAATAAATAAATCTTTAAAAAAATACTAAATGAGTTTCTGCTATAATTAATCAAACTGTAAGAAGAATATGGAAGCAGTAGATGATCAAGCAGTTTTGTAGTAAGACAGAAAAACACGGTTCCTATCCTAGCAATGTCCTGTCGTGTCATTCATATCTTCGGAGTTCAAACGAGAATGAGAATGGAAGCTCATTTCATCAGATACTGGAAAGAAAGTTGATGAAATTCACCGTTCATCCTTGACTTTCACGACTGTACGGAGAACCAGAGCAGGAGGGCGTGCGGGCCTGGGGAGCGGGAGGGCGTGCGGGCCTGGGGAGCGGGAGGGCGTGCGGGCCTGGGGAGCAGGAGGGCGTGCGGGCCTGGGGAGCGGGAGGGCGTGCGGGCCTGGGGAGCGGGAGGGCGTGCGGGCTTGATGGCTCCGTGCTGCCTGGGGAGGATGGTTCCGGCCTGGCCCGGGGCTGGTGACAGATGAGCAGGTGGCTTCTCACCAGAAGCCAGGGCGGGGAGGCGGTGGTGGTGAGACACTTCCAGACGTCGAAAGAAAACAGCTTCCAGCCCGGAGTCCTCGGGGCCCCTGAGAGTCCCGCGAGGAGTGAGAGGCGGAGACTCGGGTGATGGGGACGAGGAGACCGTCTCCGTCAGACACACCCGACGGCCTCGGAGCCGATGGTGAGGCAAAAAGAGCAGGAGCAATAAAGAGGGGCCCTCGGAGAGCGGAGAGAGAAGAGAACACGTGAGCGAGGACAGAGGCTCCTCCGCTCCTGAGCCGACGCTGAAGCGGGGGCGCCGCGCGAGGGGCTGCGGGTGTCCAGCGAGCGAGTCCTTCAGGCAGGTCTCTCGTGAGCTGCGGGCAGGGAGCACTTGAAGGAGGCCGAGGCCGCTTGACCTCACGGGACCTGAGGCAGCGCCTGGGTCGCATTGAGCTGCGCGAGGACAGTAGGCGCCGGAGCAGCGGCCGGGCAGGGAGTGGCGCGTCGCGCAGGCAGCCCGCGCGAGCCGGGGCGCAGAGCGGGTCAGGCAGGCCCACGCGGGGACTGGGAACGTGGCGAGTGAGCGGCGCGGGTCGGTGGGAGAGGAGGGTCTTCTTACGAGGTGCCGTTGACACAAGGGGACGGGCAGTTGGAAAAGGTAAAATTGGGCCTCTGGCCCCTGCTGCCCGGAGAGAACCCCAGAGAGAACCCCAGCCTCAGCAGGGAGGCCCGAGCCCCTGCGGACCCGCTGGCGACCGCGGTGTTCTCCTGGCGGGGCGCACGGCGCTGAGCGGGTGCGGGGCCCGGGGTGCCGGTCCGGGGGCCGGCGTCCTGTCCCCGCCTCGGGGAGCCGTCCACGCGGGAACCCCTCGGCGCTTGGGCGGCGGATGCCCGCCCGCTTCTGTCTCTGGCGCCCCACACGGAGGCGCGCGGCCCAGGGGACGGGTCAGCCCCCGCCGAGGCCGCCCAGCTTCCCCTCGGGGAAGTGAGTAAAAGGAGGAAAGGCAACGAGCAGCTGAAGTGCCCCACGTCTGTGTCTGTCGTGCTCTTAAAAAGCTTGTTGTGAATGACAGCGACGCCCCCGGCCCTGACAGACTGAAAACAATCCCATGGGATCTCCGTGGAGCAGGAAAGACCTGCGGCCGAGGCGGGGGCTCCGCCCTTCTGGCTGCCCTGGATGAGAACCGGCGCCTGCAGGGCCGGACCCCCGCTCACCTCCTTGCTGCCTCCGGGCCGGCAGGTCAGGTCGTGTCTCTAGATGAAGTCGCAGGGGCAAGTGGGTCTCGCTGAGCCCCGGGCGGTGGGAGGCGCTGGGCGGGCGCGTCTGGGCTCACTCCGCGGCCGGGGATGGGAGGGTGGGGGGAGCCCCCCTTTGTCCTGCTTGTGGGCCTGGCTCTGCTTTCTTTTTAAAAGAATTTATTTATTTTTATTAAGAGTTATTATTTATGCATACCACAACTGGGGTGCAGGCCAGAGGTGCGGGGGTGAGAGGACTCCCCAGAGACAGAGTGGGGAGCAGAACAGGCAGAGCCACTGAAATCCACTGCTGAGGGGAGCAGCGGGGAGACGGGAGGGGTCTGCTGCTGTGGGCAGCTCCCTGGCCGGGGTGGGACTCAGGCCGCGGTGGTGACAGCCTGAGACTGACCCCTGGGCCACGGGGGAGGCCCCTGCTCCCATCTCTGACTGGGGCTGTCCACACGGAACTTGGGACTTTGTTTGTAACTGGAGAATCATCTCCGATGCCGAGCAGGAGGGTGGGGTCATATTTCATTATTACAAGTCACACGGCCGACTGACAGAGGCGTCGGTCACAGCCAGGGCGCCCGCCTGCAGGCGCCGGCCGGTGGCCTTTGATAAACGCGAGCCGCTGCGACCTTGGTCCCAACTGCTGCGGGGAACCGGGGGTGACCGTTGGCGAGACCCCAGCTGCACGCTCATGAATATAGACCCAGACCCAGAGCCGACACGCGGAGACTGACGCAGGGAGGGCGAGGAGGGGCGCGGGCGGGACCGGACTGGCCGCACGTCCCGGCGCCCTCCGTCCTCCCTGTGTCCTGCTCCCAGGAGGCAGCCACAAAGAGGGGGCTGCCTGTGCTCTGCCTGCTCAGATTCCCTGGCCGGCTCCAGTCCCCGCAGGAGGTCAGAGGGTGGGGGCCCTGGAGCTCTGGGGTGGCTGCGCGGAGCCCCCTGCTGGCGGCTGCTGCTCACTGTCCCCCCACAGCGGGTGGAGAAGGCGCGGCCCTGAGTCCGGGTGCTGGAGCAGCTCTGCCGGCGGGTTCCTGATCCTGCCACCGGTGTTTCTTCTAGCGTGACGCTGAGCTGCGTGAGGACGAGCCCAGAGTGAGCCGCGTGGTGCGGGACGCAGCTGGCAATGCAGGGCCCGGCCCCCCGACGGCGCCTGGAGCCGGGGAGGAAGAGGAAGGTATTGTGCTGTCTGACCCGCTCTCGTGGCCCCTGTGCTGCCTCCTGTGCGGTGGGTTTTGTTTAGATCTGTCTGGTGGGCGGAAGGCCGGAGAGCTGCACAGGACGGCCAGTGCCGCGGCCAGGGCGCCGCCTGGGCCATTCCTCTGCCCTTGGAGGGGACGCCCGCTGGGCCGGGCTGCTGCAGGCAGAGGCTGGCTGGGCAGGCCCCTCCTTTCTGAACCCCTTCTCTGTGTCCGAGTTCCTTTGCAGGGCTCCCCGGAGAGGGGACGGCCTCTGCACCCCTCCTGCGGGCTCCTCTTCCTTCTCCGCTGTGCCCACCAGCCCACAGGAAGCAGGGGCTCCCCCGACCTCATTAGGGACAGTTCCACCTACTCCAGGCCCTAGACACCCCTCTCGCCCACTTTATGAGTTTGCTCGCTCCGTGGCGATGTTTATTACCGCCCAAGCCACGAATTTGGGGGCTGACTTAGGGTACCATGTGAGCCTCCGCGGGCGTCCCTTTGTACTGAGGAGACAAACTCTCGAACCCCAAACCCAAGGTGACCCAGCGAGTCAGGCGGGCGGGAGGGAGGGGCAGGTACTGGGAGGGAGAGGAGAGACGGAAAGAGGGGGCTGCAGGCTCTGGGGGAGCTGGGGGTTCTGTGATGTCAGGGGGACAGTCAGGGCGGGCCCAGGAAGGGACTCGGGGGACCCGGGTCTGCTATGGCTGAGGAGGAGCAGCAGGTGCCAAGGCCCCGGCGCCGTGCGGAGGGCAGGGGCCTGTGGCGGGAGCGAGGGGAGCGGGCAGAGCACCATGACGTCCGGCCAAGCATCCGAGTGTGGTCAGCCTGCCTCGGCGTCCAGCGCGCGGGCCTCTTGCTGTGGCATTTGAGCCCCGGCCTCCGGGGGTGGGTTTTGGGGAGCCCGCTCCTCCGTGAACTGCCTCCGCCTCTGGACGGGGCCGGGCATTGGCCAGCTGGGGAAGACGCCACGTCCACAGCGGGTCCGGTCAGGCCCCCGGGCGGGGCAGCTGGGGCTGGCCACGGAGACAGCGTCATGCGCGCGGGGGGAACGCACCGGCCAGCGCGGATGCTGTCCCCACCGTGCACTCGGGGCCTGCCAGGGGCCTGGCCTGAAGTGTGTCCCTGAGTCAGCCTCCTGGAGATGTCCTGGTGAAGGTGCCGCTGGGCCCACATCGCCCGGGGCGGGGAGCAGGAGGGGCTGTGGACACAGAGGAGAAGGCATGTTTCGGGGCAGGGTGGGGGTGCTGCTGAGCCCCTGGGGCCCAGACACCCAGAGCAGGAGGCAGAGCAGCCCATGCGCACACGCATCTCTCAGGGTGGCCCCTGGGGCTCAGCGATGTGAAGGGCTGGGAGCCCCTGTGGGGGCACATCTGGGGCTTGGCACTGAGGAATCACAGATGCCCCACACCCCAATCCTCCCCTCCCCTTGCATAGGCCTGCGCTCTCTGTCCCTCGTGCCCCCCCACCCCTGGCCCCAGCTAGGCCACCCCCCACCCCGTCCCCTGGACCACCGTATCGCCCAGGCCACCCGCCCCACCCCAGCCGCAGTCCTGGCCTCCCCAGCCCTGCGCCTCCCGAGTGCCTGGGTACACCCCAGGTCCGGGCCTTTGCCCCCCAAACCTCCCTGACACCTGGGCCGGCTGGTGGGCCCTTCCTCCTGCACTGTACCCCTCCACACACCCCACTTTCACTGCCCCTTCAGCCCGCGGCTCTCCCACCCTGTGCTCCTGGTGCCGCCCCTGGGAGGAGCGTGCCTGACTCATCTGCTCTGTTCACCAGGGTCCCCCAAAAGTCAAAACAGGGTCTGCTGGGGAGCTGTTTCCCAGGTGGTTTGGGGCAGGAGCGGGGTGCAGGGGCAAAGCAGCTTCTCTCCACTGAGTCTGTGGGAACCTGTTCTGGGGGTGCCCGCCTCCTGGGGCACGTCTGCTGAAGTGACACCCCCTGGGGCGCCCCCCACCCCCCGCGGGAGCCTGGAGCACTAGTGTCCCCCCCCAAGCCCCCCCAGCTCAGAGCAGGACCGTCCCGGACCTGGAACTTCCTAGAAAGCTGACACCCCGCCCCAGTCTGCTGAGCCCATCCAGGGG